CGGCAGGGTTCCAGCAAACACAAGTGAGGAGAAAAACCCCCAAATCACAGGAAAACCCCCCAAATCACAGCGCTCAGCAGGGAGCAGCCCTGGGGGAAACAGGCCCATAAAGGGGTTCGGCACCACAGCCACAAACAGAGGAGGTCTGTACCGCAGTCAGTAACCCAGCAGCGCCCGGTCCATCCCCCAGGGGCAATCCCTGGCTGTGCTGCGGAGGGGGAAGCAGAGCAGGAGCTCTGTGCTGCTGTGGGACAGGCACAGCAGGGCCCCCAGCCTCCTCCGGCAGCCCCTGTGTGCCCGGCCTGGCTGCAGGCACGGCTGGCACGGCTCCCTGGGCACGGCTGGCCAGCCCACGCCAGCACGGCTATCAGCGCGGGCTAAAAAGTCACTGCTGTCAGAGCAAGACACCTTTGGTGTGTGCTCTGGCCTGAGAGGCTCCTCTCTGGAGGAGATGCTGCGCTCCAGGCAGTGCCATGGGGGGCTGAGGCCACCCCCGAGCGGGGCCACGGCCACGGCCAGCGCGGGTGGCCACCGGAGCAGCAGCCTGCCACAGCCACACAAGCCACCACAAGGCGTCCAGGGCACAGATCCCGGCTTTGGGGTTTGGGTGACGCTGCAGCTGGGACATGCAGCACAGCAGGGAGCCCTGCTGCTTGTGAGAAACGCGGCACACACCTCTGCACATTAATGGTAATACATCTTGGTGTTAATAACAAAAATATTTTGACTGCTAGAGAAATTTTCACCTAGAAATCCTTTTCCTTCTGAAAGCAACTTTGTTTGAGATTGAACCCAGTGATTCCACAACTTGGGTATCCAATAAGCAGAGGGAAATGTGACTCTTTATAGAGCACTTTTCTGGCCCAGCAAAACGAAAAATTAATGGTAGCCATTTTTGTGAGAAAAAATAAGTTATTGCTACAAATCACAAGACTCTAGAACAAAAACAATCTGTATCATGCAAAGGTCACATTCAAAAGCAGCTGTCAGGGAAAAGAAGCAAAGCACAACTCATTGTGTTATGTTGTTATTTTAGAAATAAGCTTACACCTTTTCACCAGCTAGAAATAAACGGAGGTATTTGAATAATAGAACACAAAGAAAAGAAATAAAGATGTGGCCAAATTTTTGAGTAGCTTCTGCAGTGCCACACAGTTAAGATAAATTTAAGTTCAATGTCTAGAAGAAGCCATTTCAAACACTGATAGTCCACAAAGAGCATTTTGGTAGAGATAAAACAAAAAGTCAAATTTATCGGAGACTGCTATTTCCATTCTAATCTCATAAGCTGCAGTTACTGCCACTAAATAGAAGACTCCTTCCTGCATTATTTTTAGGGAAGAGGTAAAAATTAAATGCTTCCAAATTAATTTTCTTTTCCATTTTAGGCATATTATTATTTTTTCATTCACTAAATGTTCAAACACGCTTCTTTTCTTTCCTCTTGCTCATTTTACAAGTGTTCTTTGGAGTCAGAAGCAGCCACACACCACAAACTTGCCAAGCCCAGAGTGCAATCATACTCACACTCAGTCTCTGAGAAAGGGGCCAGGCGGGCAAAGGATATAACTGAGAGAGAAGATAAATTGCTTTTTGTACCCCTTAGTGGCCGGACATCAATGCTGCAGCTCTGAAAGCTGTCTTCCAAAAAAAAAAAAAAAAAAAAAAAAAAAGAGATTAGGATTGCAGCTATTCATGGGAGAAGAAATATGTTAAAAGGAAGGTTTTAATGAAGAAATGGATGAAAGACTTCCAACTACAGGAGATTAACGTTCTTATCATATAAACTCTTACTGCAAAGCGGAGAGAAGGGGTGGGAGGGGAGAACACTCCTCCAAAGACATGGAAACTCTGACACTGAAAATGAATTCTCTGCATTAGTGCACGGCGCAGTTTGCAATGGTTCTTTTCGCACGCTTTATTATGGACGCTTAAACTTAAAAACTTAAAAAAAAAAAAAAGAGTGTAGACGATACCTAGATTTGCTGAATTACCATTTTTGAAACACCCTGTGGAGAAGGCAGGACCTGAAAGCACAGCAGCCAGCAGCAGCATCAGTTTCCTGACAGTCACGCCAGGAAAGCCACCAGTGACAGGTGGGAACACACAGGTACCTGGACCTGCCTTTTGGCAGGGAAACCAGGAATTCTATAGAAACACAGGCAAAAACATGCTGTGGCTTAATGTGGTACTGGACAAGCCAAATCAAAAACTGAAAGGCACCTAAAAGCATAGGGAAGGAAGCAGGGCAGAGAGGGGAGGGAAGACTCCCATCTGTGTATGGAACACTGGGACCAGCCATAAACCTGCAGGATGGCAGCTGAGGACCAAAAGGTAAATCCTGATTTGTCACCAGCACCCACAGCTCACATCCCACAGCCAAACAACATCTCTTTCCTAAACAACTGGAGCTGGAGAGCTGCACAGGGGAAACACTCTGTGCACTACAGGTATCAGGACATGGAATATTAAAATAATAAGGTTGTTAGACAAGAGCAAGCTGGGCAAGCGAGGTGTGGGGCAGTGAATGGAATAAGGAGATATGCTCAATGCCTTCCCTCAAGGAGTTGTTTCTGATGCAGGGGAAGCTCAGCATCTCTGTTCAGGGACTCAGAGGTGAAAACAGACTCATCAAATGCCTGACACAACCAGCTGCTCTCACGGTCAGAGGACTGCTCATGTTCCAGTTCCCTTTTCCACGGAAAGCAAACTGGACACTAGGCACACCACAACACTGTCACAGCAGGCCTGTCCAAAGTACAGTCACACGAAGCTCCAGGGAGAGGGGAATGGCAAGACTTCGTCCATCCCTACTGATACCACAGACCCTAAAATTCCAATTTATATACAGGGTTGTCACCAAAAGACCCATCTCACTCTCTAGAAACCCTGAAAACAGAACTGTGCATGTCTCAAAATATTTTAAATGAATGAGCAGAGAACATCTCTTAGAGGACAATTTCCAATATACATACTTTTAAAATTAATTTCTTTGAACTGAAAATTTTTATATTCATGTTTCAGCAGAGTCATTTACAGAACCGCAAAATCCCAGAATGGTTTTGGTTCCAAGAGGCCTTGAAGATCACCTTGTTCCAGGCCCCTGCCATGGGCAAGGAACCTTAGACAAGTTACATATTATTGTGTATAGGATGAGAGGTACAAGTTCAGTAAACCAGTCACAGTTACTGTACATTGGGAATATTTATGGCTTCTCTTCCCTACAACTCTCTTGATGCTGTTTTGGCTTTCCATTACACACACATACCTGCAACACAATTTATTTGAAACCTATGTCTTTGCCTGCAGGTCACAATGTGTATTTAGAAAAGGAGCAGCTGAACCAAACTTTTGTGTCCCACAGCTACTTGAATTCCGTCCACCAGAATCTGGAGGGGTTTGGAGAAGTTCTGGCCTACTACTGAGCACAAAACCAGAGTGGGAGAAGAGCAGGTGTATTTATGACCTCGTAGGACTGTCTTTGACTTCCCACTAAAACTGTTCCTGTTGCCTACACTCTACGAAACAATTCTAGTTCTGAACAGTGTGACCCATTCATAGAGTGCAGGGCAATTCTACCCCTGTTGTCTGCTCTGTATGTGGCTTGCTTACTGCCAACATTCACTATGAATCTGGAACATTACAATATTTGTCACAAAAGCATGACATCAGTCAGCAAAAATTGCGCACAGTACCAAACTGCCATTTGATTTTTAACCTCCCCCTCAGCCAGCACAGGCACACCTGCACAGCAATTCTTAGAAACTTTTAAAAGATTTATAAGGAGAAAAGAACAACACGAATTCCAAACACGGTGTGCTTATTATGGCCTCTGATGCAGTGACAGAGTGCTTTACATGGAAGTCTGAGTAGCCACAAGCTGTGCTAAGCTGTGCAAAAAGACACACAATTCCAGCAGAAGGTTATCAAACATTTATGGTCCTGAAAAACATTTCACCAATGAAGAAGGTGAAGCTCAGCTCTTCCCTCTCAAACAGCACAGCAGCAGCATGTGAACAGCAGCATTGTTTATAGACACTCTGACAAAAAACTCTGCTGTCAGCCTGCAGATCAGTGTCACAGAATGCTCCATCTCATGCAAAACTCCCTCACTTACATTTGCACCACACAAAGTTATGGCATACAAAGCTTTTTAACTTCTTTCAAAGTATGGTCTATTTTACTTTATTTATAAACTTCTCTTTTTTATTTCTTTCTCCAGCCTTTGTCTGGGTCAGGGGGGAAGCTGTTCCCAGTAATGGCCCTTGTGCTCCAGGAAGCCACGAGCAAAGAAAAATCCTGGCTGATCATTCAGCAGAGCTTGCAGTTGGTTGTGACACAGCGTGTATTACACACAATGGTTATTACAAACACCTGCCTAAACTCTGTCACACTGATCACCACGTTTATGGACCTTCTCTGCTGTAATGTGGAAGTAGGAATGTTTTTCAAAACACCAAAATATCAGACTTAAGTGGCTGGGGAGAAAAACTCTCTAAATTCAGTGCAGAATCCACATGAGAAGAGTCAGTCAACTCCAGATGAACAGCCCAAACTGTCAAGAGTGCTGAGGGGGCAGTCACCTGCTGAATCCAGGCAGGGGCAATGCTCAGGGCTCCTCTCTGCCCCTTGCCTCCTTCCTGTTACAGCTCATCCCTTTCCTGAATTGAAAGGTCTCTGGTGTGGCACACAGCAATTTCTTATATGCTCTCAGAAACACAAAATACATAGGAAGGTTGAAAAGTTCACAGTACAAATCACTCTGATAGTATTTCTAAATTTCTACCAGGAAAAATGCTGTTTTTCCTTTCACATGCCATGCTGCTGGAATAAAGGTATTGAAATGGTACAAATAATGACCACTTCATTTACCACAGCTCTGCATCCATTGCCAGGCCCTTGTTGGCTTTCTGTTCATCTTTCAAGTAGTGACATCAGTGTCATTGCAGACAAATTCCTGTCCCCATACAAGAGCAAACAAGCCAATGAAAAGCACTAACCTTGGCTGACAGGAGTGGTACAGCCCTCAAGGTTCAACATGATGTCTCCATCTCCGTCGTCAGCACCAGCTCCCAGGAGCATCCAGCTCTCGAGGTGATCACTGTCAGAGATCAAGCTCTCCTCCTCTGAGCTGTTGTCTATCACCAACACGTCGTGGATGGCTTGAGGTGCAGCAGGACACACTGGGACAGGCCTCTCAGCAGTGCTGTTTCTCTTCTTCCTTGGTGTGCCCACGGCAGATTCGGGGGGACACAGGGCATCACACCCAGCAGCTTTGGTGTGGTTTGGTGTGGATGATACCGGGTGCATGTGTGCTTTACCTCGAGCTGAAGAGCACCCTGACCTCTTGGCCTTGCTTTCATAGATGCTGTCTTCATCTGCTGTGTCGGACAGGACGATGACCTCGGGCTCATTTGAAAGCTGAGTACCACCATCAGTGAGCTCAGCGAGTTTCTCACCCTCATCCTGCTCCTCACTTAGACCTGAATTTTGACTCCTGACTTCTCCAACATCAGCTTCTTCATCCATTTCCAGCGTGCTCATTTCTGCAAGATCCTGGGAATAGTGGATCTGGCTATAGAGATGGAACTCCACCTCACTATCAACACTCTCCTCACTGGATGACTCCTCAGGATAAAGTTCATCTTCGTACACTTCGGTATTCTCAGGATCATCATAGCCAGTAAACATTCTAGAAAGTGAAGAGCCTGAGTCTACAAAAAATCAAACACTTATATCAGAATGGTCACATGTCCAAAATAAGCCTTCAAATGATCTTCTTGAAACTGCTCAGGTGGGTTGCAGGGCTCTGCACACAGAACATCAAACTGAGCAGATCTAACAGCTACCTGTACTCAAATGTACAACAGGAAAAGCCACTTAAGGATGCATTTGTGTTAAGCATAACTACTACTTCAGCCCAACTACTTTGGATGCTGAAAGTGGCATTAACTGAACTCTCCACGCCCACACGAGGGAGGTCATCTGGACACTCACGGACCACACCCAGAGTGCTGTGTACACCCAGGGCTCTCCAGTACTGGAGCAAGTGCAGCAAAGAGCCACCAAAACCATTAAGGGATTGGAACATCTGCTGTAGAAGGTCAAGCTGGGACTGCTACTGCACCACAAGGGAAAGAAAGCTCAGAAGGATTTATCCACGCTCACAAACACCTAAGGCAGGGGGGTAAACAAGACAGAACCAGCACAGTAGGGCCCGGCAAGAACTCGAAAGGGAATGGACACAAAATAACAGAATACAGGGAGTTCCACTTAGCTGTAGCTCTGTTGCCCAGGAAGGCTGCGGAGCGAGGTGAAGCTAGGCACAGCCCTCGCCAGGTCACTGTGCTGCTAAGTCAGGGCTGAAACTGCCAGAGGCGCCTTCCCACCTCAGCTATCCTGTGATGCCAGCCCAAGGGTGAGTGTGTTCAGAGCTCACGGCCTGCTTCTTTGCAAGACAGGTAACACAGGGATGTTCTAAAGTCACCCTGCCTGCCTGAGAGATTACCTTACTTGGTGTTCATGACCATACGATACATGGAGTATAGGAAACTGAACACTTCCTCTAAAAGTCTGTATTTCTGCCTTACAGTTACTCCCATGGAAGTCATCCAGCTTTTTCTAGACAGGAAAACTGTCAGATGGAGTTCTTTTTGGCTGAGGAGGAAGAGCTGCATGGTTCTGTTTAAATCTGCTTAGATGCACACAAATACAAAAATTCAGATTTGTGAGCTTTGTACAGAAGTAACTAGTGCGATGATGGTATGTAAAGAACCCAAAGGTTCCTAGTATGAAGGCTCTCCTCTCCTACCCAGGTTCCTAAGTAAACATAATACCTAATATGCTAAGTATATGAAAGAACAAGGTGGTAGTAGACAAATAAATCTACTGTACAGCACTACCTAGCTTTAGATGCTGTAGAAAGGAAGAAAAACAATGGCACCTGAATGGCTGTATTTAGAAAAACATCTGGCAGACCAAATGAAGGCCCTAAACTTCAACATTTTTGTCAACTTCATGCAGTGTCCCAGTTTCAAACAGGTTGCAGCCTGTTCCTATCCACACAGCAAGAAGAGACCTCCAATCAAGCACATTTACAATATTACCATGTGGTTATGAGGTGTGAGAAGACACCTTCAGTAATGTAGGACAGTAACAAAACTTCCTGAAGATGCTGTGTTTTTAGTGAGTCTACACAAGCCACATGTATCCAAGTACTCCTTCATCCTCTTCTGTCACCCAGTGGACCAAATCACACACAGAAAGCTGTGACCACTGCTAAAAACTTGCAGCTGAACAACACGGATGTCTCTCAAGCATCCAGGGAGCTGAGTCATGGACACTTGACAGTGCAGGCAACAGCACAAACAGGCAGCAAGCACTACACTCACTTTGATCCATCCTTCTCAGAACGTCAAACAACAGCTCCTCCTCCTCCTCTCAAGTCCACACGTGACTGGGAAACGAAGGGCTCTTCCTGTTGCTCAGCATATACACCAGGCCACTGGGAAACAAGAAACATCCAACATCAGCACCACAACGTAATCTGAAGAGTTGCTACCCACCATTCTCACATTCAGTCGACAGCCAGGCCTTTCCTCTTCAGGAAAGAGAAAGAGCCATGTCAGATATCTGACATCAAAGCAGACTCAAACACAGCCTCAAGGAAAGGGAAGAGGAGCTCGACAAAGCCTTGCTGTTTTTCAGCTGAAGCAGTCTCTCACGGAGTTCTTATAGGTAACTCAGAGAAAGACATGATTGCAACTTCAGATTTCCTTTTGCCAGTAAAAAGTTTAGACCGTAGGCAAACATGCTTTTCCATAGAATCATAGAAGGGTTTTGGCTGAAAAAGACCCCTAGGGTCACTGTTCTCTCAGCTGTATTCACCTCTATGTGCCACAGCTATCTTGCTTCCAGATGGATTACCACAAAGACACTCTTCACATCTGAGCGTGAAGAAGACATTAAAAATTATTAGCCCTGCAAAGAATACCTTATTTGATAGGCTGCAGGGAGCAACAACACACTGACACACCCTACTTTGGAACTAGATGACCTTACTTATAAAAGAAACCCCAAACTTCAAACCCCCGGCAACCCTATCCCTTTATCAAGAGGAATCCCACACCTACCTTTCTCAGAGCACAACCTTCCTCAAGAGCACCTGACTGCCTCTCAGGTAGCCCCTAAGTGAGGCCAGTTGAAGTAAAGGGCTACCAATGGTAAAATTAAAAAATCACAGACATCTGAGCTCCTTCTAACCATTTCCAAACAAAACTGCAAACGTCTGCAGTTGGCAATGCCAGGGATAGTTTTCAAACACTGCTTGACAGCATTTGTCATCTGTCCCATTAGAAACCTGACATGCCATACGTGATGCAGCAGCAGGAGTGGCAGCAGCACCAGGCAGTCAATCGGGAGGTGCCACTGGCAACTCGAAGCAGGGAAGAAGAGTAAGGCCAACAAACATGAAATAACAAACAAGGTACTTAGAACACCTCAGCAAAAATCCCAAAGGGGATTTGGGATGCTCACCCATCTGCAGAAAGGACTTTGAAGTAAGAAAGGCCAGTCCTTCCCATGCCATTCCTGTTCAGCTACCTCGACTCTCCCTGCCAGCCCCTCCTTTCCACTGCCTAACTCCAGCACTTCTGCTGCTCTTGCTTTCTCAGCTTCTAACAGCTTCCAGAGCTCATCGTGCTTAACTTCAAATGCTGAGATTTCTTAAGAATTTCAAATGAAAACTAAAACGCAGAGATTATTTCTTCCATTGCACATGACTTTTTGGACAAGCGTACTTGTACCATCACAAATCATCAGTGAATTCCAAATATTTCCTTATTTATCTCATTCTTTGTTTGCTTTCCACAGTCAGACCTAACCCTTTTTGATAATGGCTGCACTGAGAGTACAGAAGCAAACATGCTCTCTACTCCCTTGGAGGACAAAACGCAACCCTACTGTCAGGCTTTACAGATAGCCATAAAAATGAAAAAGAAAGCTCTTTCAAGAAAATTACCACACTATCTATCAGAACAGAGGACCAGATACTGGGACAGTAGGACCCAGACTTTTTGTCAGCTTCAAATTTAGTTGTATTTGTGGCACATAAACTGCCTGATGCTTCAGACTGCTGAGACACTGCAAGGGCACAGACAGTATGAAACTGACAAAGAACTTAAATGTTCCAGAGCATGTGAATGAAATCTTTCACTTCAGCTGCCGTAGCTGCTTTTGTACCCTGCAATGCCTGGATTCCGAGACAAAATTACCATTATGAAGCTCAGGACTGAAATGGAAATCACATCTGGGAAGGTATGAAAATGTCAAACCTAAATGTATTTATAAAAACCTACCCAAAGATATAATTATTAACAGAAGCCAGTGTCAGAAGACTGTTTTTCTTCCCCTGCTCTGTTCCTGTACCCAATGTGATTCCAACCTGGTTGTGCCTCACAGGGACAACCATGTGGTTCTCAGAGCAGGTGAGAAAGGCACAACCCTCATCCACGGCCCAGGTGAGACTGCAGCCATCAGTCACCTGTGCTTGCCACATCTGGACTGGAGAAACCCTCGCAGAGGAACATGGAAAAGTGTCAAGAGGTGGGCTGGGAGCAGCCTCTTCCCTCATTTTCCATGATCTAACAGTGATTTTTGGCTAAATACTGAGATACAAACCCTATCCTTGCCTCATTTGCTGTTTGAGGAGACACAACTGTTCTGGACTTTCTTTAAATGAAGTGCAAAGAGAGAAGCAAAGCTTTGGAGAAGAGGTCAGCATTTTTCTAGTGGCAACTATACCTTCAAGCGATCACGGGAATATCTCTTTCACACCTGAACCCTGGAAAATAAAACATTTCACATTCACTTCAAGTCTTTCAGAAGATTTTTTTCTTCCCACAGACATTTTCCGAATCATGCTTAAGAGTAACATGTTCCTGGGATCCAAGGGCTGGATGTGGTCTGGTGAGTGGGAACGAGTCAGGAATGGAGATCCCGGGGGAAAGGGAAGCGCACCCCGATCACCGGTAGGGCCAAGGGAACACGCGGAGCGCGGGCCCGGGCAGAGGCAGAGCCCTCCACCGGAACTCCAAGGCTGCTGGGGACCAAGGCTCGTTCCCGAGGCTGCCGGGGGAACCGGGACACGCGGCGGCCGGAGGCTGGGCCAGGATCACGGACACCGGGGCCGGAGAGCGGGGCGATCCCGGTTGTGCAGCCGCCACTGGGGCGGAGAAGCGGCCACTGGACGGGAGGGAACCGGGGCCGAGGCCTTGGCGTGTGGGGCCTGCCCTGGAGGGCATGGTCTTCGGTCGGTGCCGAAGTCAGGTGAGGCCGGGTGCCGGTAGTCACGGACGATACTCACTCACTGCCGATACCGGAACCCAGTGGGTATCAGTACTCGGTACCGGGACTGACTGACTGACTGACTGACTGACGGGCTGACTCCCGCACTCACCCCCTGCCGGTGCTCAGCGCCAGGAGTCCCTCAGTGCCGGCGTTCCGCTCCAGGCGCGCCGGGACCCGCCGGACCGGAAGTGGCGGCGGCCTGGCCCCGTCGTCCGGCCACGTGCTTCCGGCCCCGCCCAGCGCCTCGCACCGGAGCCCCGCCCACACGAGGCCCCGCCCCCGCCCCTCAGCCCTGGGGCCGCCCCGGCCGCACCCCCAGGGGCCTGCGCGGGTTGGGGGTCGCGGTTTTGGGGCGAATTTACCGAAAATCGGGTGCGCAAGAACGGGAGTTTCCAGAGTCTCGCAAGCCTCGGGCTGTGGTCTGCGCCCTGCCCGGTAGAAAAGTCCTGCGAGAGGACCGCGTCTTCACGTGCGGAGCGGACTGAGTCCGCGCCGTCAACGGTTCTGCGGGTAGCGTGATCCCAGAAGAGACGGGTGGGAAAGGATCTTAAAGTTCATGCAGTCCCACCCTATGGCACGGACAGGGACAGCTGCCACTAGACCGGGCTGCTTCAAGCCCAGTCCAACCTGGCCTGCAACATTGCCAGGGATGGGGTAGCCACAGCTTCTCTGGGCACCCTGTGCCAGGCTCTCACACCCGCCTGGGGAGGAGTTTATTCCTAATATCCATCTAATCCTGCCCTCTGCCAGTGAGAATCCCTTCCCCTTGTTCTGTCACTCCAACCCCTGTCCCAAGAGCATCTCCAGTTCTGTTGGAGCACCTGTGGACATCGGAAGGGGCTCTAAAGTCCCCCCAGATCCTTTTCTGCAGCTGGACATCCCCAGCATTCCCAGGCCATCTCCGTGGCCGAGATTCTGCAGCCCCGAGAGGGTCACACGGATATGTGCCCGATGTGCAGGTACACACAAATGTGCTTACACGCCTGTTAGAGTTTTGATTTGCTTTTTTTCCTCTGTGTCACCTCCTTCAAAATGTGTGCTCACGGACCGAACTAACTTCTCTAATTGGTTTCTCAGACTGTCAATAACTGAACCACCCTCCAATTAGTCTCATCAACTCACACAGAAAGTTCTCATAAAGAAAACCTCTCTGAGTCTACCCTCCTGCAGGTGTAACCAGCACAGCGCCCCATGAAGGCCCTCATGGCCATCCTTGCCGGGCAGTTTGTCCAGCAGCCGTGCCAGCCCAGTGTCCCCAGCAGCACACAAACCTGCGCCCAGCAGCCCAGCCTCGCTGTCTCTCACCAGGGCACCTGCAGAAACCCCAGTGTCTCCAGTATCTCTAGCAGTAGGGGGAGTTTTATAACACTTAATTAGTGGTTTTAGGTTTTTTTTACTTAGAACTAGGTTTAACAAATACACGATGGAAATGGTTTTTTCCGTGTTTGGGCTTGGTTGTTTATTAAATCTTATTAGAAAGTATAGAACATTTAACAGCACTTCTAGCTACCTGCTAGAAGGGAGGAAAATGGAGGAAGACCTAGTTGCTACAAGGTCTCTTAAAGTTAAACAGTCTAATACTTATATTATTTATACTTTTAACCTAATAACCACATTCTCATGACTCTTAGTGTGACACTGACTAATCAGAAACTACTACTTGAAAGTCATGAAGAAGAAGGGAGAAGAAGGAAGATGAACACTGAAAAAAAACCGCTTAAAATCCTTCATATTGTCCTATACCTATTACTATACTATAAAAACCTCAATTTTAAAATCCATCACCATGTGAAAACGCATATTTCTATTTAACTACACACCTGAGATTTTAACTCCACCACTCATATTTAGAAGCGATCTCCAAGGCCTCAGATTAAAAGCAGTGTTCTCCTGGGGATCAGTGCCTGACAGCACAGAAAGCTCAAAACTCCCAGGTTTGTGGGATCCAACAAGTATCCACCTTTCTGATGCTAGGCCTCACCCTTCCTGGCCCAGTCGCCTGCCAACATGGCTGTGCAGCTGCTGCTGATTGCCCTCGCTGGTCTGTGCCTGTTTATCTGGGACAGCCGTGTCCCTCCGGGTGCTGCCCCTCCACACACAGACCCTCTGAGCAGGCTGCAGCTCCTCTGGCAAGCCCTGGGACCTGCACGCACAAGGATGTGCGCACAGAGAGGAGCCCTCTCCCGTGTAAACAGACATCCTGTTTAATACTGCCAAATGGAGTCGTACACGGTGCTACATATATGTCATATAGGGTACAAATGTGGTGTGCTTCTGCTTTTGTGAGTGCAACAGGTGGGGTTACCTGCAGCACCTAGCAACAAGGAGTCAAGCAGAGCCTCCAAGGGGAGGAGAGGTGAACAGTGATGGGTGAGAAGATGCAGGGCGTTGGGGGAGATTCCAGCTGTGTCTGCTGCTGTGGGGACAGTGGTGTGCCCTACAGCCACAGAGCTGCCCCTCAGTGCTGCCCCGCTCCGCTGAGGCCAGCAGGGCTGCCTGTGCAGACAGACACGCATACACTGGCACATCCACTCAACACAGAGCTTTCGTTTTCCATCTCACTTTTGGTAGGCCTTTCAGACTTTGGGGGTTTCCTTAATGCAGTGCTAGTACTTTGTTTTCAGCATTACTGGCATGTAATTATGACCTCTAATTTGCCTCTGTTACTGCTAGCACAGGCAGGTCTGTGTGGGCTGCAAAACTGCCTCTTGAAAGGCAGAATAATGTGTTTCCCTGATCCTCCAGGCTCTAGATTGGGGAAGAAGTGAACAAAACGAACACGGGTTTTGTCTTCCGAAAACCATGAAGGTTTTATCTTCTGGCAGAGAGAAAGTGAAACCTGACATAACTGTGACTCCTGGTACTGGTCTTAGGTACTTTGCTCTGATCTTATCATGGCACCTTTCAAAACAAAACTGTTTTTAATGGTTCTGGACGTTATGAAACCTACTCAAATATATCAGATACCTAATTGCTGTAAAACATACACTGGTAAGATGATTAAAAGATGAGCTGGAACTGCAGAATGTTATGCAACTGTCTGGAGCTGTGCTTGTGTCTGACCTCAGTTTCCCAAATTACTGACCCTGGCCCCTCTCTGCAGGTTGCCATCCTGCCATCCTTGGCTCGTCCCCATTGCCAGGCTGGTGCCTGGGGATGGGATTGCCCTCTCCTGGTGGGGGTTGTGGGACGGGCAGTGGCCACCAGACCCTGCCCCATCAGCCCCCACTGGTGCAGCTACTGAAATGGTGTAAAATACACTTCTGAAGAAAGACCTCAGGCCATGTACATTTCCCCAGAGCATTTCCAGGAGATAAAATTCTCTATTTATAGAAAGAACAGGAGAAAGATGAGAGCATTTGGATTTATCATTGACTGTGGTACTATTTCACACTTGCAAGAACCCATTCTTGCTGGATTTGCCCCTGAAAAGAAGTTCTTTGGGATGGCATCATAGCAAAAGCTCAGCAACTGCCTCTGAGGCACCCATTGCCAGTCACCCGTCCTAAGGGACTCTTTCCCACGCTGCCCCAGGGCCACTGCAGCTCGGGGGACATCACTCACCCTGGATGGGAGTGGGACAGCTCCAGCCTGGCCTTGCTGCAGGGCGCTTTGCTGCTGCAGAGAAGCAGACAGAGGTGCCGGCGTTCCATGCAACAGGACCCAGGAGTTCCTCAGTTCCTGGCATTTTCACCCTTGCACCCCTTTTGTCTCTCGAGCCAGCTGGCTCGGGCTGCTGCCTTTGCTTCTGAGCACTGTTTCTTGACAGGAATGACAAACTTGGCCTGCTGTGCACTGGAACCCAGCCCAAACTGTTCTCCTGTTCCCCTGTGCTGTCTTTGGTGAGCCGTGATTCACTGAGGGGAGAGGAGCTTGGCACATAGCCTGAGGTCCCGGTGCTCACACGTGGCCAGGAGTTGAGAATGTGTCAGTCCCTTGGCACCCCGTTGTGAGCGCTGAGCAGCATCCCCAGTTGTGCTCAGTTCAGCTGAAGGGCTTCACTCCCTTCCTGGAGAATGTCCCCTCTCCCTCCACAGCTCCCGGCTTTCTGAGCCGCTCAGGAGCATGTTCCTGCAGGAGCACTTTCAGGAGCTGTTCAGGCAGGGGTATCTTCCTGCAGCCCAGAACGGAGCCATAAGGCTGCAGGGAGCAGTCGGCTTGAGGAAACTTTTCGTGCTGCCGACCTGATGCCGTGTGCCGGGAGCTGGAAGTCTCTTGCGAGCCCAGGCTGCGGGGCTGAGCCTGCGGCACCGGCACCATCCGGACAGCACTCCGGGGAGGGGCGCGGGGCCGGAGTGCTCTGATCGCTGGCTCAGACCCACCAGGAGCCCTGTCAGTGCAGGAAAGGAGCACCCACCCTGCACGGCCCTGCGGAGCCCGTCCCTTCCCCTGCCCGGGACCCCGAACGGGCTCGCTGGATCCTGCGGGCAAACCCATGCGTGATGCAGGGACAGGTGGCTTTGCGGCAGCCTCCGATGCCTGGGGACACAGCTGTGTCTCCTGCAGCCTTACAGAGTGGTGGAGACCGTCGTTCTTCCCACCAAAATCTGTGTGTGCTCTAGAAAGGAAAGGGAAGGAGGAGGGAGGTTTTCCCGGGATGTGACCTGTCCGCTCGCAGTAACCGATCCAGGTGCCGGCAGGTGGCACCCCAGAATGCGCGGCCTTTCTGCCAGCCTGATGCTGCTCCTGCAGCGTCTTCAGCCTCCGCTCGGCTCCCAGCACCGGAGGACCCTCGGTGGCTCTGACTCTGGGGCTAACAGCCATCAGAAAGGACCCCGAAAGTATGTTTCCCATTTGATCCTTTCTGAAGTGTTTTTCTAAATGCTGAGAGAAACAGCACGGAAGTTCAGAGCGTAACAGCATGAAAAATACCCAGAATATGCCTTAGCAGTATTACATCTGAATAAAGTCTCTGTGTCAGGGCGCTGGCTCCTGTTGCTTTAGCTTTGTGAGTTACCAACCCTACGAGATGAAAAGGCTTATGAGAGATGCAGCTTCACACAGAATTGGTAGAATTCACAACACCCTGCTGAGGAAAATCTCAGGACACTTGGCTGTGGTGGAAACATCG